CTCTTTTATTGTCAAGCACTCCAACTGATTTAAATGCTAATGTGCCTTTAAGTTCGGGTCCAAGAGGCAAGGCCGATACGACACACATCTGCTAAAAAATTCTATAAACGAAATGGTAATGTATACACCTAATTTAAGGTGTAAATGTAAATAGTTACATCTTTTATACCATATCTGGTACCCACTTATAAATAAGCCTGGTTAAGTGTTTGGCCGTGGGAGGTGCCTAAACATGTGTTCAAATAAAATCGTATTGTTTCACACTGGAGTCTCCTGTGGGGGTCTGCTGTAAAATATGGACGTACATCCGGCCTTCGAAGGGAACAATTATTCGTCAAACTCGTCAGCCAGAAGCCAGTTTGCATTTTGTTGTAATGAAAATGATCAGGAATTAGGAGACGGAACGAGATTTATGTGGCTCAATTAAGACACATTCTCTCACATTCCCATAATCGGATCGGGTATCACTTGTTGGGAAGTTCTCCTATTTCAAAAGAGGGAGGTTTTTATCTCTTTAGCGCCAAGTGCGGTGCGGTTTGCGAAAGTTTAGATACGAGGAGATAGATCATTTGTACTACACGAAATTCGATCTTTTTTAATCATTTTATTCCGGTGTCTATGGCATTTTTATGAACGCATTTTATAGGCAAAGGTATCATTAACAGCATTTGGGAATGCACGAATAAAGAAACATGACACTTAATTGATTTTAGTTGCATAAGTATGTTTGATTTGTCGGTATTGATTTAGGGCTTAATTAATATCTCTGTTTCTGATTATTTTAATTTGACTATTTCTTTGTCCGCAAGATGCACGGTCTCTTGTAAAGAGTGCTTCAGAATGACTACCTAAATTCGCCCGGTAAATCGAGTAGAAATTTAGCATTTAGCGATTTTTAGCCCGCTATTGTCTTGACACAAACATAGTAAAATACCCATATTTATATCTCTAGACGGTTCTTAAATTTTCGCAATTATCATCTCCAGACAATGAGACAGATGTTTTAACTTTTTCCGAAAAATACCCAATAAAAGCATCCGAAAAATGGCAATAATGGAATAATTTGTCCGTGGTTGCAAATTCAAAAATTCGCTGAAAGACCAACACGGAACAGATGAAGCGAACACAAAAACGTCACGTTTTTGAGTCCAAATTTTCCATGTGTTCCTAACTCGATGGAAAACTCTTTAAGCTCGATCGAACTTAAACGAATAAACAAGATGATTGCAGTAGAGCACACAAAAACTGTATATTCAAATAAAACAAAAAACTATTCACCCAATGCCACAATCGCTACTGCCCATCGGCCAACAATGCCACTAACCGCAAATACTTAGACAGCAATTTATTTTACATAAATGGAAAACCATCTCCGTGTAGAATTACAATTTGTCAAAACTAACAAATAGAGACGACTCTGCATCGCAGGGGGCTTTTTAAGCGCATTAGGGAGTTGAAAAAGCACATCAAATGGATTGAGCCGATTCAGCCCAGGCCGTACAATGGCCCGAAGAACGGGAGCAGTGGGTTGGAAGGCCCACAAAGAGCCCCGAAATTAATGCCCATTGACGGGCTAATAGTGGGACCATGAGGACATGATGCGTTTGGTAGCATCTATCCGACCTGGTCTCTATCGGGCGGCCGAAGAACATCCAAACTGGGTGCTGAAAAAGGTTTTCTCGACCGGTCCGTGTATCCTTTGCGAATTTATGAAATATTGACCTAATTAGGAAGGCAGACTAAATACTGTAGTACCCGGTAGGGATTACAGCCAGTGCCATAAATCTGGTCAGCTGCTCATAAACTTCATCATCCATACCCTTAATCAATGAACGGTAGTCTTAAACTAGAGTTATTTTATTGCCTGTAATCACGACCGGTTATTCAGAACCGTATTTGCATATTCGGATTAATCTCTGATCAGTACTGAACGAACGATTGCATTTAAGATTATCTGATGTTGATGAAGCGTAACAGTTTTATGTACCATCTTCCCTGAAGGCTCCTTTGCATTTGGGATTTATTTTGCGAATAAATTTAACGGTATCGGAAATGCTTAATCACATTTCGGCAGCTCGAAAATTTCAAAACACGTTTACAAACCTGCAAAGTTCTGTTTTTTGCTTGAGTATAAACATTGATTACACATAGCTGAGGAATGATTTACGTCACCTGATCAAAGCTATGATTTTCCTTATTTTGTTGAAATACCTCCAAACGCCAAACGCGTAGATGTAATTTTAATTCCCGTAAATATAATTTTAATTCCCTACGAATGTTTTCAATTGGAGCTTAAGCAAGATTTAAATCCTCCGTCAACCATATTTTCGGTCATCCACGATAACGTGTAAGGTTAGCAATTTACTTAACTAAACAGTTTCGCAAGAAACACACTAATCTAGATGATGTGTAATGCGTATAATAGTAATCACTTGTAAGCCTACAGTTCGATTCGATTTAGTTTGGAGATTATGTTTTGAACACGAGTTTAAACCCACGGATTTTCAACATTGGTAGCTTTCTTATTGAATATTACACTTTTTGAGTGCATATTTGCTAGAAAAATTCCTTGGATTTTGATAGGCGTAAAACAAAAACAAAGACTTTGGGTTCAAAGAGACAAACTCTAGTGAACTTTGATTTGAAGAGATTCCTTCACAATGCTCAAACTAAAAATTGAGTAAACCGTTCTACGATTCTAAGCCCGTACAGTATTAAGCGATTAACTGATGAAAAAGCTAGTCTAAAAGTCTAAAAAATATACATATTTCAGAAATAAATACAGACGACAGTAAATAAAAATCCACGCAGAAATTTCGTTTCATTTCGAAATAAACGTTTGAGGTTTCAGTTGAGGAACCGTAACAGAACTTTAACAGAATTAAAAAACGTTAATTTAAGTGCAGAAAATAACGACAACTTGCAGGAAAATTGCAACGCAAAAACCACCTTTAAACCTTGCAAAGGGATTGTTCGGTCCTGCATCATCATTCTCGTAATTTCCAATGTAACGATAATTAGAAGAGTAAGTTTATTTTATTGACGTGACACCATATCGTTTATAACAGCAATGCGCCGGTATTCTATTAAACTTAACTGGCTGCACCAATTTTATTACGGTAAACCATGTAATTAACCTGCCAGAGATATTACAAGTAATACGCTTAAACTACACTTCTTTTCAGATTTATGCAACATGAATTATTTATCCAAGCCTCTGGCTGGATTTGATCCGTCTTTCGTATCGACTCTGTAGGAACAGATAAACGTTGAGACAAAAATCCATAACCCATTATCGCCCATCATACGGTTCCTGCAAACTATCTGACACTTTATAGTTTAATCATGGGAATGGAAACTTGAAGATTTCACATCAGTATGCTA